TCGGAAAAATAGCCCAAAATCTATGATGGTACCCCCTTTGCAATCTGTCAAAAATTGACCTGAAATAAATCTGCACAAATCGGTGCTTAATGGACTTAATTATCGTTGAAGAATAGTCTTAGGCGGAATCCGTGATATGTAGCCTTCAAAATTCAAAGAAAATGGCCTTTCGAGGCATACAAAAATACGAAAATGCCATCCAAAATTAAATTGGCCCAAATTGGTGCTTAATGGACTTATTATCCGTGGAGAATAGGATCAATAGACTTCATTATCGGTGAAGAATATCCTTGACCTGAATCTGTGATTTGTAGCCTTTAGAATTGAAAGAAAATGACATTTCGGAAAAATAGCCCAAAATCTGTGATGGTACTCCTTTGCAATCTGCCAAAAGTTTACCCAAAATAAATCCTCCCAAATCGGTGCTTAATGGACTTAATCATCATTTTGATAATAGTCTCATGCCGAATCCGTGATCTGTAGCCTTCAAAATCCAAAGAAAATGGACTTTCGATGCCCACAAAATTACGAAAATGCCATCCAAAAATAAATTGACCCAAATCGGTGCTTAATGGACTTATCATCTGTGGAGAATAGGATCAATAGACTTCATTGTAGGTGAAGAATAGCTTCGACCTGATTTCGTGATATGTAGCCTCCAGAATAGAAAGAAAATGACATTTCGGAAGACTCAAATCGGTGCTTAATGGACTTAATCATCGTTGAAGAATAGACTCAGGCCCAATCCGTGATCTGTAGCCTTCAAAATCCAAAGAAAAGGGCCTTTCACTGCCCATGAAATTACGAAAATGACATCCGAAAATAAATTGCCCTAATCGGTGCTTAATGGACTTATCATCCGTGGAGAATATGATCAATAGACTTCATTATCGGTGGAGTATAGTCTCGGCCTGATTATTTTATCTGTAGCCTCCAGAATAGAAAGAAAATGACATTTCGGAAAAATCTCCCAAAATCTATGATGTTACCCCTTTGCAATCTGCCAAAAATTGACCCTGAATAAATCCGCCCAAATCGGTGCTTAATGGACTTAATCATCGTTGAATAATAGTCTCAAGCCGAATCTGTGATCTGTAGTCTTCAAAATCCAAAGAAAATGGTCATTCGATGCCCACAATATTACGAAAATGCCATCCGAAAATAAATTGGCCCATATCGGTGCTTAATGGACTTATCATCCGTGGAGAATAGGATCAATAGACTTCATTATCGGTGAAGAATAGCCTTGACCTGAATCTGTGATTTGTAGCCTTTAGAATTGAAAGAAAATGACATTTCGGAAAAATCGCCCAAAATCTGTGATGGTACTCCTTTGCAATCTGCCAAAAGTTTACCCAAAATATATCCGCCCAAATCGGTGCTTAATGTACTTAATTATCGTTTTGATATTAGTCTCATGCCGAATCCGTGATCTGTAGCCTTCAAAATCCAAAGAAAATGGACTTTCGACGCCCACAAAATTACGAAAATGCCATCCAAAAATAAATTGACCCAAATCGGTGCTTAATGGACTTATCATCTGTGGAGAATAGGATCAATAGACTTCATTGTTGGTGAAGAATAGCCTCGACCTGATTCCGTGATATGTAGCCTCCAGAATAGAAAGAAAATGACATTTCGGAAAACTCAAATCGGTGCTTAATGGACTTAATCATCGTTGAAGAATAGACTCAGGCCCAATCCGTGATCTGTAATCTTCAAAATCCAAAGAAAATGGCCTTTCACAACCCATGAAATTACGAAAATGACATCCGAAAATAAATTGCCCTAATCGGTGCTTAATGAACTTATCATCCGTGGAGAATATGATCAATAGACTTCATTATCGGTGGAGAATAGTCTCGTCCTGATTATGTTATCTGTAGCCTCCAGAATAGAAAGAAAATGACATTTCGGAAAAATCTCCCAAAATCGGTGCTTAATGTTACCCCTTTGCAATCTGCCAAAAATTGACCCGGAATAAATCCGCCCAAATCGGTGCTTAATGGACTTAATCATCGTTGAATAATAGTCTCAAGCCGAATCTGTGATCTGTAGCCTTCAATATCCAAAGAAAATGGTCATTCGATGCCCACGATATTACGAAAATGCCATCCGAAAATAAATTGGCCCATATCGGTGCTTAATGGACTTATCATCCGTGGAGAATAGGATCAATAGACTTCATTATCAGTGAAGAATAGTCTTGACCTGAATCCGTGATCTGTAGCCTTTAGAATTGAAAGAAAATGACATTTCGGAAAAATCGCCCAAAATCTGTGATGGTAACCCTTTGCAATCTGCCAAAAGTTGACCCAAAATAAATCCGCCCAAATCGGTGCTTAATGGACTTAATCATCGTTTTGATAATAGTCTCATGCCGAATCCGTGATCTGTAGCCTTCAAAATCCAAAGAAAATGGCCTTTCGATGACCGCAAAATTACGAAAATGACATCCGAAAATAAAATGAACCAAATCGGTGCTTAATTGGACTTATCATCCGTGGAGAATAGGATCAACAGAATTCATTATCGGTTGAGAATAGCCTCGACTTGATTCCGTGATCTGTAGCCTCCATAATCGAAAGAAAATGACATTTCGGAAAAATCGCCCAAAATCGGTGATGGTACCCCTTTGCAATCTTCCAAACATTGACCCGAAATAAATCCGCCCAAATCGGTGCTTCATGGACTTAATCATCGTTGCAGAATAGTCTAATGCCGAATCCGTGATCTGTAGCCTTCAAAATCCAAAGAAAATGGCCTTTCGACGCTCACAAAATTACGAAAAAGTCATCCAAAAATACATTGGCCCAAATCGATGCTTAATGGACTTATCATCCATGGAGAATAGGATCAATAGACTTCATTATCGGTGGAGAATAGCCTCGGTCTGATTATGTGATCTGTAGCCTCCAGAATTGAAAGATAATGACATTTCGGATAAATTGCCCAAAATCTGTGATGGTACCCCTTTGCAATCTTCCAAAAATTGACTCAGAATAAATCCTCCCAAATCGATGCTTAATGGACTTAATCATCGTCGAAGAATAGTCTCAGGCCGAGTTCGTGATATGTAGCCTTCAATATCCTAAGAAAATGACCTTTCGACGCCCACAAAATTACGAAAATGTCATCCGAAAATAAATTTGCCCAAATCGGTGCTTAATGGACTTAACATCCGTGGAAAATAGGATCAATAGACTTCATTATCAGTGAAGAATAGCCTCGGCCTGATTCCTTGATCTGTAGCCTCCAGAATCGAAAGAAAATGACATTTTAGAAAAATCCCCAAAATATGTGATGGTACCCCTTTGCATCTCCAAAAATCTGCAAAATAAAAATATCGGAATAAAAAAATCCGCCCAAATCAGTTCTTAATGGACTTAATCATCGTTGAAGAATAGCATCAGGCCGAATCTGTGATCTGTAGCCTTCAAAATGAAAAGAAAATGGCGTTTCGACGCCCACAAAATTACGAAAATGCCATCCGAAAATAAAATTGGCCCAAATCGGTGCTTAATGGACTTATCATCCGTGGAGAATAGGATCATTAGACTTCATTAACGGTGGAGAATAGCCTCGGCCTGATTCCGTGATCTGTAGCCTCCAGATTCGAAAGAAAATGACATTTCGGAAAAGTCGCCCAAATTTTGTGATGTTACCCCTTTGCAATCTGCCAAAAATTGACCCGGAATAAATCCGCCCAAATCGGTGCTTAATGGACTTAATCATCGTTGAAGAATAGTCTCAGGCCGAATCCGTGATCTGTAGCCTTCAAAATCCAAAGAAATTGCCTTTCGACGCCCACAAAATTACGAAATGCCATCCGAAAATAAATTGGCCCGAATCGGTGCTTAATGGACTTATATCCGTGGAGAATAGGATCAATAGACTTCATTATCGGTGGAGAATCGCTTCGGCCTGATTCTGTGATTTGTAGCCTCTAGAATCGAAAGAAAATGACATTTCAGAAAAATCGCCCAAAACTATGATTAGGTAGTCATTAGGCCGTATGGACTATGTAGGGGTGGAAATCGGTACGGTATCGGTATCCCAATACCAAATACCGAAATCCCGAATACCGAATTATACCCTGAAATCAATCCCAATCCCAATCCCTAAATATTTCGGTATCTCAATCGGTACCTCGGTATCCCAATCGATATTATCAAATACAAAATTAATTATCTTTGCTATTAATAATTAAATATATAAATTAGATTTTATTGTTTAATTTAGGGCAAAGAGACTAAACAAAGAGTCTTGAGTTGCCTAGAGCTAACATCTCAAGTTTTTATAATTAGTAATCTTTAATTTGATGAATTTGAGTTTGAGAGACGACTAATACTAGTGTGAAATAGTGATGTAATGATCTATGTATAATTAAATGACACTATTGGTGGTTGAGGGTCGCATAGTAGTGAATGAGAGAGTCTAGTTGAGAGGATAAAATACAATAGCTTATATTTCGGTATTGATCGGTATTTCGGTATATACCGATCCCAATCCCATAATCCCTAATACCGAATAACAATTGAAACTCAATCCCAATCCCAATCCCACAAAATAATTCGTGTATTCGGTAATACCAAATATAGACAAATTCGGTACGGTATTCGGTATATACCAAATACCGGTACCAAACTTCCAGCCTAACTATGAGTGTGCAAGAGTTCAGAAAAGGCAAAACAAAACGATTGTCATTTCTAATTTTGTGGGAAATAGATATCATATATTCGCTGATGGATAGTGTCTATGAAGTCTTTTCAAAACAAGTGCTATTCATTTGAGTACTTACTAAATAGTCATACCTCATATACATGCAATGATGAATTTATAAAAACAAGCATGACATTTCCATCGTCTGATAATTTGTGAAAATAATACTGTTTGAGCAGAGGCACTATTACCACTTTTTTTTAAATGCATAAAATGCTGTAGTAACTTTATGCATATATCATAAACTTAATTAACACATGAATTGCTGTAACTTGGATGATATCAATCACCCAACACGAAGATGGACAACAGTCTCTCCTGGACGAGCAGATGACAGCTTGTAACTGATCAAACTGGTGACTGAATTCGCTCCCACCTTCCTCACAGCTATCTCATAATCTCCGTAAAACAGAGAAGCTTCACAAAACCCTTCCTCATCTGCTTCAGCTTCAGTGATCGGAGATTTCCACTCTCCGAGCAGCCGATCCACCACATCCCCAGCTTCAGTGTTCATGAACTCGTAGTCTGCTAAGGTCAGCTCTTTGTAACCAGCTTCTTCTGGTCCGCCGAACATGATGATCCCTTCCACCGCCGGATGGGAGTAACCTTCCCTCAGAATCTGCTCCAAGTACTCTCCCTGTATATTATCTCATCCCACAAAAACCACAACGAAGCAACAGCAGCTTGATTTAGTAACATTGATTAATAATCATTATACCCATGGTTTAAGGGTGGACATCGGTCGATTAAGTTTAGAACCAAATCAGAGTGAAACAAGATCGTAGAAAAAAAAAGAAAAAAAAAAAAGAGGACCAGAACCTTACCAGCATCATGGTTGGTTCGTTTGGTTTGATTCAATCATTTCCAAAGTCAATTTCGGTCCGTTTTTTCTTCATACATATAAAGTAATTCGTAGAGTCAAATTGAAATATATTCGATTCGATTCGATTTTGTACAAACATTGATTTGGTTCGATTCGGTCTGGTGTGGACCGGCATTGTTGCCCACTCCTACTCATGGTTTACTAATTCAGGTTACCGTAGAGATGACAAAAATTACCCAATATTCTGGTATTCTTCTCTAAACTTAACTTACTACTGCGCAAATCAGGTTTGAGTAATTTTTTTTTTTACGTTTGGGGCATACCCAAAATTTTAGTTAGTGTCTAAATTGGACTCATACCATTGGATAAACAAAAGAATGGGTAAATGACACATTTGGTCACTGAGATTATTAAATTGTGTCATGTTTAGTCACTAGAAAAAATTAATATCAATTTTGGTCACTCGAATTACCGAAACTGGTCAAATTTAGTCACTCTCGCGTCAGTTTCCGTCCAACTCCATTAATGTAGTTGGACGGAAACTTTTGGGAGAGTGACTAAATGTGACATGTTTCAGTAATACGAGTGACTAAATGTGACATTTTTCAATAATTCGAGTGACCGGAGTTGGACAGAGGCTACAGAAGAGTGACCAAATGTGACCTGTGTCAGTAATTCGAATGACCAAAATTGATATTAAATTTTTCTAGTGACTAAATATGACACGATTTAGTAATCTCAGTGACCAAATGTGTCATTTACCCACAAAAGAATACACGATGGTGTCGTTTTTTTTTATTTGGATGGCTAAATAAAATAAAATAAACAAGGAACAGAAAAATAAATTTACCTGATATGGGCCTTGGTCCACGGAAACTTCAGTAAGCCACAGTGGCAAACCCATGGATCCATAAAGGTCCAAAGCGGCCCTCATGTAGGCCAGATCCGGCTTCCCATGCCCAAACTGCTACTCTGCAACCCGATCCCCGCCGGTATCCCTTCATTCCCCGGAAAACGCCAGAATCTCCGCAAACCGCCGCAGATATTCACCGGATGCGCAGTGTCGTCGCGTTGTTCTCCACCGTATTGTACTCGTTCATGAACAGCCTCACATTCCGATCGATCTCATGCGCCCTCCCGAAGAACTTCCGCCGAAGCATTCTTCCCAGCCGATCCTCGAAGAAGCTGAGTGCAGATTCTCGTTCACCACGTCCCAAGCGATCAGCTCCCCTCTGTACCTCGACACCACCGAATTCATCCTCTCCGCCGCGGCTGCTCGAGTTCCTCCCCCGTCAGGTTCTTCACCCACTGGGGCTGGCATTTGGGGTTGTCCCAGAACACGTTGTGGCCCCTGATGGAGATGTTGTGTTTCTTGCAGAATCGAAGCATGGCGTCCGGCGTGGTGTAGTTCTCCTGTCCCTGGACTAATTCTGTGCTGTACCATTTCATGGCGTTTGTGAATGTCGTGTGCTTGAATCGCGAGGCGAACCAGTTGCGGTAGGGTTTGGAGGAGAGGATGTGGAGGTTCATCCCGCATCCGAACTGGGAAGCTTGGGGTTGTTTGCTTGATGGTTATGGACGCTTTCGGCACAGGTGCGTTCCATTGCGGTCCACTATGCGAATCTCACCTTGCTCTTTCTGATCTGCAAAATTGGATGCTGCCCAAGTCAGAATTTTAAGGGGGGGTTATAGCCTCTACAAAGATTTTTTGTTACCTTTTCGATGATGTGGTCCTGGTGCGATCTCCATTGCTTCATGGTGAATTGTTGCAGGGCGACATTCTCAACCCATACTTCAGCTGTTGGATCCTTGCTCTGGAGAATTGAGAGGCAGGAACTGATATATTGAAGAAATGAGAGGAAGCGGGAGCAAAGAAGAAGAGTTTGATGGTCCAAGTACCTGAAACGAAACCTCTGCAAGGCCTGATGAGTTTGGAGACAAGCCACCTTTGAGCATAGACCAGCACCCATTGCTAGCAATGGCTTTGCCGATATTGTGGAGTTCGCCGCTAGAAGTCCTGACGACAGCATCCACAACGATCCCACTTCCTTTGCTCGTCTGAACCAAGCTGAACGAGTTTTTTCCACAGGTCTTAGAATTCAGTCTACATATAGTACTATGCAATGAAGAGAAACAAAAATCGAGAATAATGTATGACTTTACCAGAGAATGCGTAAAGGTTTCCTTCCTCCAGATGAACATTCTGCCTCGTTCTAGATGTCCAGTTCATGCTGTTACTAAAGATTCCTCCTCCATAGAGAGGCCTAGCAGGAACAGCCACACACTGCAGCAGAATCAAGTGTTGCGGTTAAATTAGCTTTTGATGAGTCTTGTCTGTTTATGGCTGCAAATGAGAGAAATGTTGCAAGTCCTTATCTTGCCTTAATTGTTGCTGAGTAGTCATATGGAATTCCATCGAAGGAGTTACAGTGCCCTGCATCCATTCCAGAGTGGGAACATTAACATGCTTGTTCATTAATTTGAACGCAGACCAATACATATGGAAATGGGAACGAAGGCAGAGGGGGAGAAAATCTACAGCACCGGAATGGAGAAGAAGGCATAAAAGCATCAGGAGGTAAGCTTCCCCATTTTCTCCCATCTTCTGTTTTGAAGTTACAGAGTTGAGAATGTTTGTCTCAAGGGAAAATTAGACGTTGATTAGATGGGATACTTATATGCTAAACATTTCTCGTTTAATGATTAATTACCCACTGGTTGAAGCTGTAAACGCAGGCTTTTGGGTAATTACCGTGGCTAACAAGCAATGCAGCCTCACATGAATGATTCAGCTCTGTACGACAAAAAGAGAGAATTGAGGAACAAATGACAGAACGATTTTGATTTCAATTGCAGTAAGGAGTAGCATTAAGAGAAATATTCTCTGAGTTGGATAATGCACATAGTGACAAACAACGATAATTAATTGCTAAGATGATTAATTATCTACAAAAGTTTCCCATTTTACTTAAAGAAGAAGGAAGCGTTACAATCTGAAATACTTCAGGGAAGAAGCAATTCTGCATGGGGGATTGATGTTATTCCATGTGCAGTCATTCCGTTTCATTTTTTTTCCTTCATATGTTTCAGTTATCTGTTCGTTTCTGCCAGAAAAAGGGAAGCAGCTTGCTTTCTAGGGAATCCCATCTTCCACTAATTAGTTACACGTTCTCTTCATGCATCACTTCTGTTTTTTTCACCCTTTTTATGGTTTTACAGTTTTCAGGAAGCAAAGGCTACAGAGGGGGAGAGTACTCTATCAGGAACGTGGAGAGTGGATCCTGTAATTTAACATCTTTGGAAACCTTGTAATGCAAGAAAGCTGACGATGGATCGGTGGTTTCGTCTGGATATTCAACACTTATGTTGTAGTCGCCATGGAACAGTAAAGCTTCAAAGAACCCTTTCTCATCCGATTCAAAAGTTGCAGGTTTGGTTTCCCACTCATGAATCAGCTTATCCACCACATCTCCAGCAGCAGTGTTGTTGAAATCCTTGTCTGCTAAGGTTGTCTCGTTGAAACCGCCTGCTTCTGGTCCTGCAAACATGATAATCCCTTCCACCCCAGGATGAGAGTAGGCTTCCCTCAGCACCTGTTCCAAGTATTCTGCCTGCAAAAACCATAACAAATTGATCAATATTACGTTCTCGGGAATCAAAAGTTGAGTTCTTATTTAGTACAGGACCCATGTTGGTTCTAGGGTTCTACGTGATCAAATCAAGTACCTGATTTGGCCCTGGCCCAATGCTGACTTCAGTAAGCCATATTGGAATTCCTGTTGAAGCTAGAATGTCTAAGGAACTTCTCATGTAAGCAAGGTTAGGCTGCTTGTAAGAAAAGTGTCCCTGAACACCTATTCCTGCCTTTATCTCTTGGTTCCCGGGGTATGACAGAATCTCCTCAAATCTGTTCCTGTAGTTTACTGGATCAGCATCCTCATCGCCGCTGTACTCAATGGTGTTGTATTCATTCATGAACAATCTCACATTCGGATCAAGCTGGTGAGCTCTTAAGAAATACTCAGCAGAAGCATTTCTGCCAAGTCTGTCCTCGAAGAAGCTGAAGTGTAAGTTCTCGTTCATTACATCCCAAGCAATCAGCTGCCCTCCTGCATATCTGGAAACCACCGAGTCAATTCTCTTTGCTGCTGCTTCTGCCAGTTCCTCCGAGCTAAGGTCCCTAACCCAACCAGGTTGATACTTGGGGTCATCCCAGAAGATATTGTGTCCTCGTACGGAAATCCCCTTCTCTTTGGCAAACTTCATCATGGCATCTGCTGTTGTGTAGTTCTCTTGGCCTTGCCTCTTCTCGGTGCTGTACCATTTCATCTCGTTGGTGAATGTCGTGTACTTGAACCTCGAAGCGAACCATTCCTGATAGCCTGTGCTGCTCAGGATGCGATAGTTCATCCCACACCCAAATGGGAATTCTGGACTGATCTGGTTGAGTGTCACCTTAGCACCTCTCAATGAAGTTCCATTCTTGTACTTTACCTGAAATCTCACCTTGCTCTTTCTTTCCTGAAGAGTACGGAAAATTCCAAGGATTGCTTTTAGCTACGACGAAGTGAAAATGGTTGGGATTCGTAGGTTTACATACCGTTGCAACTCTTCTGTCCTGATGAGATCTCCATTCGCTCATTGTGAAAGGGTGCAATGAGACATTTTCAATCCATATTTCAGCACTTGTATTCTTGCTCTACATAGTATGCCCAATTTCCCCATCAGGAACTAAACAGGACAGAGGGCTGTGAATCAATTTGTTGCAGTTTGGTTACCTCAAAGAGAATCTCAACAGGGCCTGAAAAGTTTGCGAAGATGCCACCTTTCAAGAAAGACCAACATCCTGCCTTTGCGGTAACTCTGCCACCTCGAATCAGCTCTCCGCGATTTGTCTTGAAAACAACGCCTACTTCTCGACTCTCGTCAGTAACTTGGACCCATCCTATGAGGAAAACAAATGAAGCTTATAACTAGTCATCAAAGCTACTCCTCCTGAAGAAGAAATGGTGGACTTACCTGAGAAAACATAGAGATTCCCTTCCACGACTTGAACTGTCTTAAAAACAGAATCATGTGAATATGTCCTATTGTATGCAATACCATACAATCCCTCCAAGTTTCCAATCATTCCTCCTCCATATTGAGCTTCCAGAGGCACTTTCAGGCACTGCTCAACATAGAAATCAAACACAGAAGAAAATTTCGGAAACTTAAAACGAACTTATTTTGATGTTCCAATGAAAGAGTGGAAATCGTAGAATCCTGTACTTGCCTCAGCTGTTGCAGAATGATCATAACTAACAGCATAAGAAAAGCTTGACAGCAAACTGCAGCAGAGCGAGCAAATCCAAAGAGTTGAAACTTTCTTCAACATACTGGGCAGAATGCCAGAATCAGCAAACTTCTTACTGGCATAAATGTTTGGTAAATGTCAAGTCTTTTTTCATGTAGTAACGTTCTGCCTAATTAATTCTCTTGTTGCGTTGCAGATGGACTATCAAACTGAATATATAGATGTAACAATCTATGAAAGTTGCTGTGCCTTGGGGAGAAGATAGCCACGTTTCCTCAAAAGTGGACCAAATAAGGAACCCACGACTGCACTCAAAATGGCTGCACTAGTTCAAGTAATTGGAGCACCAAGTCCAGCATCAGAAGCATCAGAACCTCATGGAAACATTGCAGATGGCAAAGATGGATTTAAGTGGGATAATCACTATTATCTTGATAGATAAGCCATAAACAATCGTGGAGTTCTCGTAGATAATGCACCTTATCCATCTGAATCAAAGTCCTTTTCAGCTGGGAACTTGACGAAATGGGTTTTACGAGTGAAGTGCAAGAAACAAGGGAATGCTAACGTTTTCATGCATCAAATTCATTGCCACCAAGAGCTGGAAAGAATGTTACAGAGGTTTGATAAAAGTACAACTTTTCCTGTGATTGCTTCCTTCTCAGGGCAAAAAAGAGAATCTGATGGGGTTTCTTTCTTGCCTAACAATTCATTATTTTTCCTACGGATGGCCAACAACCATACCAAGAATTCCTACCTATCTTTACTCTTTCACTAAACAAGTAACACCAGCAAAAGAACAAGGATACGAGCCTGCCTAATGGAGAAGAGCTATTCTGTGGCTTGAACAAGCAAATGTCTCTTCTGGGTTGCATTCGATGATGGCGCCACCACAACCTTCCGCACCAAACCAGAATTCCCCAATCTCGGGTGAACAATCGATACATTGTAATCTCCATGGAACAGAGAAGCCTCCAAGTAGCCATTCGCGTCGGTCTCTCCAACGACAGAAGCTTCTCGGCCACCACCCCACTCGTGCAGCAGCTTGTCCACCACATCCCCAGTCGGCAGGTTCCTGAAATTGTTATCCGTCAAACACATTCTGTAGCAGCCTTGCGGACTCCACGCCGCCCACACCACCATTCCGGACACCTTGGGATGAGCGTGGCCTTCCCTCAGAACCTGCTCCAGGTAACTCGCCTGATCGGGGCTCGATTTGACATCGACCTCGGTGAGCCAGATGGGCACATTGGCAGCAGCCAGAGTATCAATCGACGCTCTCATGTAAGCAAGATTAGGGACCCCAAAATGAGACTCCAGACCGATCCCGAACTTGATCCAGTTGTTGTTGGAAAACCTCCTGATCCCTCTCAGCTTCTGCAGGTACTTCACCGGCGTCGAAGCCGGATCCCCACTCTCCTCGATTGTGTTGTACTCGTTCATAAACAGCGGCGTCTCCCAATCAATTTTATAAGCCAGATTGTAAGCAAGCGCCGAAGCGTAGCTTCCCAGCTTGTTCTCCAGCGCGGAGAAATGCAGATTCTCGTTCACCACATCCCACGCGACCAACTTCCCCTTGTACCTCGACACCACGGAGTTGATCCTCGTCCTGACCGCGGTCCCAAAGTCCCGCGGTGAGAGCGAATTAAGCCACCCTTGCTGGTAATTGGGATCGTCCCACAGCACGTTGTGGCCGCGAACCGCCACATTGTGCTGCTGGGCGAACCAGAGCAGGGCGTCGGCGGCAGAGTAGTCCTCTCTGCCCCTCGAGGGCTCGTTGGTGTACCACTTCATCTCGTTCTCGAACGTCGTGACTCGAAACCCTCTCGATGTGAACCAGTTCTTGTAGGCAGCATTTGAGAGAATGTTCTTGTTGATGGCGCATCCAAAAGGAAAACTCAATCCGTTCTGGTTGATGGTCACATTTGCGTTGGGCAGGGGATTCCCCTGTTTATCCACAACCTGGATTCTCACCTTCTCCTTCCTTGTCTGCAATCAATCAAATCCGTTTCATTTTTTTTATACCGTCGGACCAATAATCAACAAATTGATAATGTAAGTAAACAAACCCACCTGCTCAATGCTTCGATCTTGATGAGACCGCCATTCCTGATGTGTAAAGGGCTGCAACGACACGCTATCGACCCACAAATCGGCGGTGGAGTTCCGGGTGTGGAAGTAGAGCTCTGCCTCGCCGGAGGTGTTGACGGTGATGCCGCCTTTGAGCATGGACCAGCAACCAGGCTCGGCGATCACTGCTCCGGCGGGGATGAAACCCCCATCGGAGGTCTTGAAACCCGCCGTCACGGCGACATTCCCCTGGCTGACTTGCAACCAAGCTGGGTAGGCATTGTTAACAATAACAAACTAGAAAGTTACAATCTTTTTTCTGATAGAACGATGAATGGGGGAAAAAGGAGAAGGTTTTGCAGCAGAGTTTTACCGGAGAAAGCATAGAGGCGGTCTTTCAGCAGGTAAACTTTCTGAGAAGCGCTGTGGTGTGGTTGAGTTCTTGAATGTGAGACGATGAAGTGGTTGCCAGTTTTGGATGAAACCCTGTGTTGGATTTGGGCGGTTCCGAATCCGGACCAACCGGCCGAACCGCGGTTGAGTTCTGGGTTGAGTATGATTCCGCCGCTGTACTGAGGGCGGTGTGGGACTTCCAGGCACTGTAAAATTTGTTGGAGGGAAGGAAGAAAGGAATCAGCTGTCAATGGAGAATCGGGTTCAAAGGTGGAGGTGAAAGAAACTTGCCTCAATGCTGGCGGTATAGTCGTAGGGCAAAGCTTCTGCTACAAAGCCTGCCATACAAATTTGCTTTAAAAAAAGAATTCTTATGAATAAGAAAACACGTCAGCGGTTGTTTATACAAAAGGAAACTTGTATCAATAAATTTTCCTCCTTTTATAAATGAATTATGAGAATATTATTTTTTTAAAAAAATATTTATTCATATGATTATATCATATAAAAGGACACACCTGCTTCGATCTTCGGCCTCCCACACTGCTAGGGCATTGGAATCTTTGATTTCAGAACATATAACGAATATCGTTTGTCGATTACTATTTGTGTAATTTTTTGATTTTTTTTTTTTAATCAAATGAGTGAAGTACCAATCTATTATAATAAAACCATTGTAGTGACTATAAAAAAAATTGTATGATTGTATAACATCACATCCTATGGCAAAGAAAAAAGGTCTCAACATTCGCGTAAAACACATATATTTTTACACAATCGTATCAATTAATCATCCAAAATCACTTATGTTCATACCCATAAGGCCCTAACCTACAATTTCAACTAATCTCTTCAATTGATTTTTTCACACCATCTCATCCACCACTTGATATTTTGTGATCACTGAAATAAACAAAACAAAAAAATTAACATACCGATCTTGTTTAATCATCACAATGTTTTGCTTGTACCATACAGTCCATGGAAATAGGATCCATCAACAAAATCTATTTTTAACAGATCCAAATTGAGTTATCTTAAAACGTAAATCAGAGACTTCGTAGCTCTGTTCTATACCTTGAATTTCATTTAGTTAATTCAAAATTTCCAATGGGTCAAGAATATCTAGACCAAAATTCAGTCATTAAAGCACAAACGCGATAACCTTAACCTAACAAATCAGTCAATGATCATATTTATTAACGTATGGATGAATGCAAAATCTTCGGTTTTCGATCCGCTCTCAAGATTTGAGTCGTGCCTGGAGGGACGCGGAACCCTAATCGATTTTGCCCGTGACTCGTATTATTGTTATTTTCAAACCTACTATGAAATTTTGATCAGTATATAGGGTTTGCATGTGCTCGATTTAGAGTGTGTTTTGTAAAAGTAAAATGAAAAAACAACTTGGCATTAACGAAAACCGACTATGAAAAACAAGTAGTTAAAAAGGCTAACCTGAAGAGATCAGAGAAGTCAAAATTACAAAGAGTTGCAACATTATTGTCTTCTGTCCCGCCGGCGGTGGCGGCGGCAGCAGCAGCAGCTTCGTCGCCATCTCCTCCGTTCTGAAACTGGCCTGGCCGGCAGAGAGATTTTCATAAATAAAAAAAGAAAAAGAGATGAAAAAAAAGAGAGGGTTAAGAATAAGAAGGAGCAAACCAAACCAAATTGAGAGTCGTAAGCTATAGGCAATAATGGCTTCCTGTTAATTTCAGTTAATCAAAGCTATAGCCTGCAGTAATCATGTGTTCTTTTTCCGCCCTTCAATTTCCCTATAAATACATGAAGTGAAATCTTGAAAAGGAAAATATTAACAAGGTACCTTCATTAATCAGTAATTTCCCTACTACCCAAACTGTCAAATTGTGATTATGGGAATTGAATTCCCTCCTTCCTTAATTAATTGACAAAAAAAAAAAACCATATCCATATCCAAGGAAGTTAATTAAATATTTATAAGCCCTCTTTTAATTGCACCAACTCCTTTGTATCACTAATCCAGCTACTAATACTAGCTTTGAACTCGGTCAGTTGGTTGGCCGGAAGACAAAAAATTTCAGCTAAGATAATTAAGTTTATGCCTAAAAAATATCTGATTTCATAGTTGAACGAAAGGAATGCAAGCCGATTGAAAATAATAGGAGAACTGAAACGGAAGAGAGAGTGTGCTAGGTGGCACACTCTAATTGGATGACTGAAAATTAAAAAGAGAACACTGAATAAAAATCAAACTACTGATCATTCGACTCTCAAGTTAGAAAGGAGAAAATGACGAAAATACTAAATCATTGCTCGTCATATTTTGTCATTTGATTGATTTTACTTGGAATTAAATTATTCATTAATTGAGAAATGTCGACCATATTCAAAAAAAAAAAAATTTGACTTAATGTATGATTCTACCTTTATGATATCGATACACAATGTTATTATTAGTCATATTGGAGAATTCTAGCTTAAAACTAATTCCCAAAAAACATGCATTTTCTTATGACGGAATATATTTTGGTGCTCAGTTAGACTACTACCATAGTATGTAGTTTGCTAACAATCATTGAAATTCATTATCCTATTCCTAAGCAAATCAAAGAGAGATGAAATGATGAAGTAAATAACCACAAATAGTAAAAAGGAAGATGGAAAGGAACTACTTAGAAAAGTCCGTCGGGTAATAATGGGAAAAGAAATCATCGGTAATTTTTAAAAATAAAAAAAAATGCTATAATTGGTGGCTAATGTGGAAGCATGAGGAATGAGAAATTGAATATATGGTGAAGCCTTTTAATGAGAAAGTGTATAGTATATTTGTTAGATATGAATGTTGTACGCCAGAACATGCTCCATTCAAAAATTAAAAAAAAAAACTGTGCGAAAAATTTACATCTTTGAATGATAGTAGATTTTTTTGTCATTTCAATTAATATTATAAAAAAATGCCTCATTGGAAAAGAAACGCATAACCATCAACCGAAAGACGCATAAGATATATAAAATACTAGTTAACAAATCGACTCACCCTCTTGCTCATAGGGATCTGGAAGCGACCTTCTCAATCACTAGCTTGATCGTGACAGAACTGGATTCGATGCACTGTTGTCTTCTTACTGGGTGGGTTCGATTCATGACTTTCTCCCCTGCAAAGGGTACAAGTTAAGTCATGGATTCTCCCCATATTGCTAAGGTAACAAAGAGCCGCTCATATCGTGGCAAAAAGGTTCTCTTATCGATGGATAACCGTCGTTCCTTCTCTTTTTATGATTTGGCCTGTAAAGCTCGTGTAATTATTCTCGTATCTGTCTATTCCTTTCGGAATATCTATGGAAAAAAAACGCATAACATATAAGAATGAGAAAGGAGTTTAAGAAACCCTTAAGGGCAGAAACGCATCGTAATTAATTAAGCCAGACATTGGTCACTGGAAAATGTGGGTAAATTTCCAAAATATTGTTTTTTTAAAATTTACCATCAATATGGTGGTTTTAAAAGTATTTACACGAATATGTGTTTTGGAAAGAACACATAGTGAGCCCACCCGAGACTCGGGTGAAGGCACTTTATAAATTTTTTAGTTCAAAATTGAGCGGTGGCGCCCAAGACTGCGGCGTCTGTGCCGTTTTTTTTGGTTTTCGTCAGCGGAAAAATTCCCAAAATCGTTGACCAGCAGAGGCGCTAGAGACTGAGGCAATGAAATTCCACCAGCGGGGGCGCCCGAGACTGAGGTGGGTTTGCTGCCTCCCACAGCCACTCCAGCACTATAAACAAGGGATTTACTTTCAGTTGCTCACCACAAAAAAACCTATGTTACGAAGTTAGATGAGAGAAGCTCTGCTGGTTGCTGCAAAGATGGCTAACAGGTAAGAGACACATTTATTTTTTAATTATATTCTTCAAATGCTATTGTGATTTTATTTAGTTAGTAGTTAGTGAGTTTTTTTTTATGTAGTGATTTTAGAATATTTGAAATAGTCATTCGGTGGAAATCAGAGAAAGTAGAGGACAATTTGGGCGTCCATTTTGTTGGTGGTAGAAGTTTTCAGTTGACGGTTCCATCCAGGGTGACATATCACAAACTTTGTGAGAATCTAATTCCGAGAATACGGCGTGAAGACAAAGCAGTACAATATAGTGATGTGATCATAGGTTTCACTTACTGTCTTCCAGAATGGCCGAATGGTGTTTTATTTCCTTATGTGATGCCTATTGATGATAGCTTGAATGTGCTTTTCGATTTTATGGCGCAAAATCCTCATTGTTTGGGTGCTGAGATACATGCTGAGCTCAGTGAGGATAGGGGTGGAGAGGAAGAAGATGAGACATGGAGCGTGTCATCCGATCATGATGACTAAGAGGAGGAAGATGAGGAGGAGAGGAGGAGGAGGAGGAGGATGGGGAAGGAGAGCATCCTAATTATCGTCCATATTTTTACTTGCAAGGTAATGAAGAGGACGGCGAATTATCATATGTGACTCATATGGCGTAATTCCAATGCCTATTGTTGTTGGTTTTGAAGGAAAATTCTACATGGGGCAGATATTTCACTCGAAACAAGCTGCACATGTAGCGATTAAATACCACGCAGTACAATGCAACTTTCCGTATGTCGTGGTGGAGTCGTCACCTTCAATCTGGAAGGTCAGATGCTTGAAGCACAAGGATGACAATTGTCCTTGAATGGTGCGGTTTGGATGTCGAGATGTTGGAAACGAATGGACTGTGAGAAAGGCCGAGTTGGTGCATTCTTGTAGCAGTACGACTTAACCGACGGATCATCGCCATCTTGATCGACGTTATATCTGAGTCCGTGAAACGTTTGGTACGTGCCCAACCAAATCTGAGTGTTCTACTGTGCAGGCCGAGTTGAAAGATAAGTTTAATATGCAAGTTACTTACAAAAAGGCTTGGTATGGGAAAGAAAGAGCATTGGAGAAGTTGCATGGAAATTGGGAAGAATCTTATGATTATTTGCAAACATTCTTGCGGGTGGTAAAGAGAAAAATGCCAACATCAGTGATTGATTGGGTAAGAGTTCTTTCTTTGCAACCAGGTCATTTGATCTTTTAGCGAGTATTCTAGGCTTATGGACCTTGTATAGATGGATTCAAGAATTGTCCAGGAGTCATGGTTGTTGATGAAACATTTCTTACTGCAAAGTATAAAGGAGTGCTTATGGAACATCATCACCTTGCTCTCGCGCTGCCAAACTCACCTCCCGAGGAACTCCGAAGGACATCACTGCAATCGCCCGAGCTGATCGACAATGTTTCTGGGTTCTCGCCGCCAAAAAATGGCTTACTAGCATCCAAACCAGTAAAATATAAAGAAATCTAAAATAAATTCACAAGAGGACTTAGTTGATTACCTTCTTCGTCGAACTCGACCACTGTCTCCACCACCCTTTTCTCAACACCCATTTCAAAGGAGCGAACACGACGGAATGAGAACGAAGGACGATTGTCGAAAGCGAAGGAGAAGAATAAAAAAAAGAGAAAAGTAAACGTCGAAGTAAGAATTAGGAATAACAAATAGCCCGCAGAGAGACCTGATTATATAGGCCCTCCACGAAAACTTAACTGTCAAGTTCGGTGCTTCGAGAACATCGCCCACGTCCAATCAACGAATTTGAAATTCGTACTCTTCGCCCAAGCGAGCGATAGAGAAGCTGTCACGTCGCCCAAACAACACAAACGCGACTCTGATGATAGACTATGCGGCTATTGTCGCATCACTGCCTAGGGGGCAAACGGTACTCGCGTATGTGTTAATGCTAGTTAGCCACACCAAGAAGAACAGACAATCGCGCCATGAGAAACAAAAATCGGACAATAGCTAGTCCGAGCCAAAGGCACCTCACATTTAGAAGCTCGCGCAAGAATCAAGAGCCGGCAAAAATCAACTCACTCTCCGAACAATGCCCAAAGAAAGCATTGACCTCGGGGGAAACAAAAAGGGCCCAACGCGGAATCACTGGAAACGTGCGCGCCCAACTCAAAGACAACTCACACAAAAAAATATAAGGCAGTTGTAAACTTCATCTTGCTGGGAGGCAATTGTTGGGGATATGACAAATCCTAGCAAGCCACGATTACACCATATTGTGCCATAGGAAGTGCAAGTAGCTAAGGAAGATGAAATTTGGAATCACAGTTTCGATAGTTTTGACACAATATCACTTTGCATTTAATGCTTACCTACAACAGTAAATGCTATAAATAAATCATTGTAACTTTATTATGAACTTACTATAATTTATACGATCACTATTCGCACCTACTTATTCACGTGTTTACCTCCTACACTCAGTTAGATACAAACAATATGAATCTAACATACAATTGAATAAGTTCCTCTTTTACTTGTTAGTTTCTTCCCCCGCCACTTTTTACACCAACTCACAACACCATTACAAGCACACATCGCTTTCTTTTCTCTTACTAGTTACTACTACTGCTACTACAGACTTTCTTCACAACTTAACAGTTATAATACAAACAAATCGAATAGATGATGCCAGAATACAAAAGAACACCATAAAACCGGGGTAGAAAAACACAACGCAAAGCATAAACTAACTCCCTGGAGGAGAACGGAATGGACGAGGTAAACCAACAAGTATGGCTGTTCATATTCCAAGCTTGTTTTCGTGCTTGGTAAAATTTTCTTGTTCTTGTATAATGACCTTTTTTTCTCATGCCTGGAGGTATCCCTTTGCCTCCAAGAAATTAACGACTTTATCTGCCA